GATCTTTTGCTTTCTTCCTGTATGATATTCTTGATATCATCCCACAATTCTTGTGGTCTTCAATCATTAGTGTCAAATGCAACAAATCCGTTCTTCAGGTTATCTCTAAATTCAGGTGGAATTATATTTAAGGTCATATTTTGGCTCTTGTGGACTTGTTTTCATTTTCTTCAGCTTCAGTCTGAATTTGCATATGAACAATTGATGGGCTGTTCTACAATCTGCCCCTGGCCTGGTTTTGGCTGATGATATGGAGCTTTTCCAGTGTCTTTTCCCACAGATGTAGTCAATTTGATTTCTGTGTATCCCAACTGGTGAGGTTGATATGTATAGTCCTCTTTTATCTTGTTTAAGAAAAACTGGAGGTTTTACCGTGGCCAAAGTGCTCCAAGGAACACTTGTTATTTGTGGATCATCCTCTGGATGCAGTGCCTTGCCATTGGTGCCTGTCTTTCCAGCACAGGTATTTTTTAGTCCTGGTGTGGCAATGTAGGATCAGCACTGGACTGCAAGGATCAGCAAGGTCTGCAGTTCAAACTCACCAGCAGCTCCTCAGAAACCCGATACAGGGTCACTATTAGTTGGAACTGACTCAACAACACTTAACAACAACTGCAACAACAACAACAATGCTCTCTGGAGTCCTGGTGTGGCACTATCCAGGATAAGCACTGGACTGCTAATCATGAAGTTGGCAGTTTAAACCCACAAGCTGCTCCTGGGAAACCCTATAAAGGGCTTCTAGGGATCAGAACCGACTCAATGGCACTTAACAATGACAATGCTTTCTGGAGCTCTGGTTGTGTAGTGGGCTGTTAACCACATGGTTGGCAGTTTGAATCCAGCAGCCACTCCAATGGAGACAGATAAAACTTTCTGCTCCCATAGAGATTTAGAGCCTCAGAAACCCTATATGGGCTTGCTGTGGGTTGGAATGGACTCGATGGCAAGCAACAGCAACTGGGGTCATTTTGACTCCATTTTCACTGTGACACTGAGTAGTGGAATGGGCAACACAATAGGGATGGGAGGCTGGTTGATAATGCTGGCTTTGCCAGTAACTCCTTCACACTTAAAGTCATTTTATCTGTAAGATGGGAACAGGGCAGATGATGGCTTTATCTTAAAGCCCTTTCCAGCTTTAAGATCACATTCTGCTTTTTGCATCCTCAAAAGAACATTTAAAAATAAAGTTATTCTGAGGTAAAAAGGAGGCAAATGTTCTAATGTCAGTTGTCACTAGTGGTGTGAATTTGAGGATGTGGTCTTCAGTTTTCTCATGTATAAAATGGGGCCAGTGCATTACATGACTAGTGGCCGCTTTGCATTTTCATACTTAGTGATTTTTCAAATTTTTTGTACCCCCCAAAACTATCTTGACTAAATGAAGTGGTAGAAACAAACATTATTTGCTTCCCTGATGCTGAATGGAAGAGACAGGTAGCAGAAGACAGGCCTTATCCTTCGTTCCTCTACTTTATTCTCAGGCATTGCTTTCTGAAGGGCACTGTGATAGATGCTGGGGATTCAGTAATATTTAAAAGTCCCGGTCTCAGAGTCTTGCTGCTTTCAGAACTTGCAGGTGAGTGGAGAGTAAAAATGAACAGCTAATGATGATGCAGTATGGTTAATATCATAAGGGCCAGGTGTCAGATGTGGTGGGAACAAATAGACAAGCATTCTCCCTGGCTTAGGGAGTTAGGAACAGCTTACTGGATGAAGTGCTATGTGTGCTGAGCCTTGAAGGGTGAGTAGAAGTGAGTTTAGTGAAATGTGAGTGAGGGGGCAGCTGGGAGGGGAGTGTTCCAGATATAGGGAAGGGCACTTACAAAGAAAAAAGAGCTGAGATTGGAGATCAAGAAAGTCCTGAGGAGCCATATTAAGGAGTTTAAAGTATCCTGGAGGGGAGTAAAATGATGAAGGGCTTTAAGCAACGGAGTGACACAATACAATTTATACATTACATCTCCCCTTTCAGGTTAAAACAACCAGGAAACCCAGTTAGAATGCTATTGCAGTTTTCTAATGAAAGAGGATGAATGAAAATGTTATTGTTGTGAAGGACCCTGAGCCTGATCAATGGAATGGCATTGCAACTTCCCCCAATTGGCACTGAATAGGGTCCTGCTTGAGCTTCCAGTCTCCGGAAAGCTTGGGTCTTTGTTACACCTGGAGACCCCACCCCCCCCTTTCCAGGTTTCAGGAAAATCTCCATATCTCCATACCCTGCCATTGTAAACTCACCAGAACTGTATCCAGACCACACCACCTTAAATACCCCAGTCTGTAAGTCTTGGTCTCCTTTGTGATGTAAGAGTATCCTCTCCCAGGTTTACTCTCAATAAACCTGCCTTCTGTTGAACCCAAGACTCTTTCCTTCATCTCTTTCTTTCTTTTCCTTACATGTTGTTATACACTGTTGTGTCAGTTTCAGCTCATAGTGATCCTGTCTAGGGTTTCCAAAGAGCAGCTGGTGGGTATGAACCTCTGACCTTGTGGTCCAAACCAACCTTGAGGTCCAGCTGATTGAAATGATGGAAGGTAAAATTGACAATTACTGATAGGTGGGTGTTGAGGTGGCAAGGATAGGGATTGAGTGACTTCCAGGTTTCTTTCTGGCTCAGGCAGTTGGACAGCTACAGTGCCATACACTGCGATGATTACATGAGAAGGAAATGATCTTTATTTAAGCCATACTGAGTTTTAATGTCTGAGGTATATTCAGGTAGAAAGGCCGGACAATTCATAAAATGAAGTGAGCAGAGAATTCAGGGCTAAAGATACTGCTCTGAAGTCATCTGCTTGTAGATTCTAGTGTGGACCTGACATGGACTTGGCATGGGGAGATCCTGGACAAGGGGAAGTCTGACAAGGAAAGCAGAAGTCTCAAACTGAATCTCAAGAAGTAACAGCTTTCAGCACAGGAGCTCACAAGGAAGTCTGAAAAGAACTGCCAGAGAAGTAGTAGGAAAGCAAGAAAGCCGAGCGTCATCAAATCTGAAGGAGAAGGCTTTGGAGGAGGCCATGGTCAGTTATTGTCAAACGCTACTACAGGCCAAGGAAGAATAGAAAAATGTCCATTGAATTTGTCAAGGAAGGTGGAGCCAGTGGTCATCAAGATGATGGGTGAGAGGGAGACATTAGAGATAAGAGAGGGAGTCAATGAAATAAAACTGTTGAGGGCTTGCTCATGAGAGCAGGTAGGTGAGTGTGGTGGAGATGGAACATGTTTGTGGTATGTGTGTGTTTCCTGAAGCCTGGCTAGGAAAAGGAAGAAAAAGAAGGAATAATTGGAATGGGAAGTAAGAACCAGGAAAGGACTTTTTTTTAAAGATAGAAGAGATGTGAATGCTTGTAAGTGCTGGTTGTGAAGAACCGATAAAACGATGTTTAAGAAATGGTAGCTCTGTTAGCGTAGTGGTTACGAATCGGATTGCGAACCTTAAGGTCAGCGGTTCGAAACTACCAGCAGCTCCGCGGGAGAAAGATGAGGCTTTCTACTCCCGTAAAGATTTACACCCTCGGAAACCCTGTACAGGGTCGCTATGGGTCGGAACCGACTTGACGGCACTTAACAACAACAACAACAAAGAAATGGGAGCAAGAGGGGAGAGGCCACAGGTCAAAATTGCTAGCAAGTCTCCTAGCAGCATGTCCTCAGGATGTCTAGGTACTAAGACCTTCCTGAGAATGAAGATGAAGCCCTAGTCTTGGGGTTGTGGGGGATGAACAGTGAGCCATAGGGGAGACTGACAGGGACTGAGCTCCAAGATCACAAAAGTTGGTGTGAGACCAGGGCAGCATTCTAAGCATCTGTGATCTTGGTCCTTCTGAGGCCAAGGCATAGCATGGTGTCTTGTTATGACTACAATGCTCCCAAGTGGTGTTACCCACTTCACTCTCTCTCCTGTGCCTCTTGAAATTGTGGGATCACCTAGTCTACTTCTCCTCTGGTCTCTCCCCTTCTGCCTTCTTGTCAGGCTAACCAACTTCGCTCTTCATGTTCCTCTGAACTCCTTTACTTGGCCTACCAAATCCTACCCTTTCTTTATGTTTTGACTCATTGCTTACCCCAGCCTTCACTCATCTCATCTCCTTGCATTCTGTCAATATCTGGTTGTACTTCAGTTTCTGCATATTAATTTAAACCCTTAGAGGATAGTGATTCCTCACAATGCCTAGTATAAAACTTAGCACAAGTGCTTAATACAAGTTTAATTTTATTGCCAACATAATGACTATAGCATATAGTGTGTGTAGAGTTTTTTTCTCTCCTAACATTTCTAAAGTATTTCCATTAACTTAAAACCCCGTGAAATAGATGTGTTGTTGTTTTTAAGTGCTATTGAGTCAGTTCCAACACATAGCAACCCTGTGTAAGGTTTTTGAGAAGCAGCTGGTGAGTTTAAACTGCTGACCTTGCAGTTCAAACAACTTCTCGGTCCAGTGCTTATCCTACAGTGACACCCCCAGAACTCCAAAGTAGATGTAGTAGTAGTAATAAAACCAAAAAAATGATTATGACTCATGGTGGCCCTAGTGGGACAGAATAGAATTGCCCTTAGGGTTTCTGAGACTCTAAATCTTTACTGGCGCAGACAACTTCATCTTTCTCCCATGGAGTGGTTGGTGGGTGTGAATCGCCTACCTTGTGGTTAGCAGCCAAATGTGTATGCTACAGAGCCACCAGGGCTCATAAATAGTAGAAATGTTTTTGTTGTTGTTGTTAAGTGCCGTAGAGTCAAGTTCTGACCCATAACGACCCTAAATAGGGTTTCTGAGGAGCAGCTGGTGAATTTGAACCATCGGCCTGCGGTTCAAGTGGACTTTGCAGTCCAGCACATTAACCACACCAGGACTCCAGTAGTAGTAATAGCAGTCTTAAAAACAAAACAAAACAAAATAACAATAAAAACAAGCAAGAAAGCTGACCCAGAAAAAGCCTGAGCGACCTGCTTCAAGCCCAACAGTGACATGATGGTGGATGTCCAGGTTCTTACCTTGATGACATAGCGCACATATTGTGGCCGTTTAGCATTGAGGATGATTCCTATGCTGCAAGGAATGAGGACCAGGACCAGTGAGAGCACAATGCCTCCATAGGGCACCTTGTCCTTCAGGTCCCCATCATATATTCCCATGGAGTAGATGTACAAGAGGAGGGGCATCATGCCCAGGGCAAAGAAGGTGGAGCAGGTGGTCATCACGATGCTGGTGGGGGGAGACATAGGAAGAGCAAAGAGAAATACACAGAGAAACCTCATTAGTCAGACTGTTTTGGGGTGTGTCTGCTATGTGCCAGGCACTGTGCTAAGTACTTTGCATGCATGCTCCATGTAACTGAAGTGGCACACTTCATTTCCTCTTCCCAATAGCCTTATTAAAAGGTAGGCATGTTGTTGTTGTAACTGCTGTTGAGTTGGTTCTGACTCATAGTGAACCTGTATAGGGTTTCCAAGGATCAAAATCTTTTCAGAGCAGAAAACCTCATCTTTCTCCTGTGGAGCAGATGGTGGGCTTCAACTGCTGACCTTGTGGTTATAAGTCTAGTGCTTATCCTATAGAGCCACCACACTCCTTTTTACTTATAAGGAAGCTGGGGAGTAGAAAAGTTGTGACTTGCCCACGCTCACACAGGCTGAGCCAGGATTTGAACCCAGTTCTGCCTGACTGCTTCAATCCTGTGTGCTTCAGTGTGGATGGAACCATTTTGATCACCTCTGTAACAGAAAAAGTCCCTCTGAGTACTTGCCAAATGCACGATCCATTAAAAAAAAAAAATATTTTTTTTAATTGTGAATTATGTGATAGTTTACATGGGAGAACATTAGCTTTACATTCATCTTATTGTATATTGTTACATTGCCATGATTACAATACCCTCCATGCATCTTCAACCAACCAAATGGTACACCCCACAAGCCTGCTCCCTGGTCGTCAGCACACAGCCCCTCTCCCTCTTTGGGTCTAGAGTTCCCAGCTGCTCCATCTCTCCACATCATCGTCTCTGCCTCCATCTCTGGTGTCACTGTTTCTATAGGTAGGGTCCCACACTCTGCTCTTCTCCCTTGATGGTCCCAGGACCCTCTGCTCCTGGACTGCAAAGTCAACCACTCTCCTTCTTTATTTTATTTTTAAAATTAATTATGTGATAGTTTACATGGGAGAACATTAGCTTTACATCCATCCTATTGTACATCGTTTCCTTGCCAAGTTTACAATCCCCTCCATGCCTTATCAACCAACCAAAGGATACACCCTGCAAGACTGCCCCCCGGTCATCAGCACAAAGCCCCTCTGCCTCTCTATGTCTAAAGTACCCAGCTGCTCCATCTCTCCATGTCATTGTCTCTGCCTCCATTTCTGGCATCAGTTTCTCTGGGTAGGGTCCCGCTCTCCGCTCTTCTCCTTTGATGGTCCCAGGGACCTCCACTTCTAGATTGAAAAGTTAATCACTCCCCACCTTTTGCTACAAAACATCTGCCTTTACATTTCCAACTCTCACAATCAGTCCTGATAACAATTATTCACTACTGTATCACAAAAGACCTATCTGCATCTCCTTTCATTGGCTCCGCCTAGACAGATTGGATGCTACTTAGTGGAGATTCTACCTTCCTCCGTGCCCTCTGGATCTAGGCTCCCTCTTGAAAGCTTGTAAAGCCAGTTACTTCTTGCCTTTGTAGCTCCACTCCCCCCTCCCCTCGCCCCCCCATTTTGGGCATCTAATGTCCAAGTTGCCCATCCCTGTCTACGCTGTGTACTGAGTGGGTGGAAATGATTCTTGCTGTAAGGATTTGTTCCCTCTTTTGAGCTATTGCATCCATAGGTGTAGGTCAAGTATCAGATTACTTTTTTCCCCCTCTTCTTTCTTCTTCTAGTTGAGCTCTGATCATCCAGCCATTGATGGAAGGTCAAGTGGGTATTATATGTAAGTGGGTGTTCTTGTGCTTATGACCTCTCTTCTTATCAGCTGGATGCTTCATTCTTCACTCTAGTCCTCTATGGCTATGTTACTAACTCTGGGCCCAGGAGTCTTAAGTTCACAGGAGTGTATTGAACATGGTTGGACTTAGCTCACAGCTTCACTGCATTTTTCCCTCACTTCCCTTTATTGGTGACCAACGTGGTCACCAGTCAGAGCACGTGTCTGCTCGTGTATTCCCATTGAGTCTCAGTCTTGGAAGGGCATTTGGACACTTGCCTGAGGGGACCTGGCCACTTGCCTTGATGTCTCCTGGGTGAGCAACTTACTTGTTCTTGTAGTAGTCAGTTGGACTGTGGTTATTGTTTTGTATTTTTCCTGTTGGTCTTTCTTTCAAGAAGTATCTTCTGTTCTTCTAGCTGCTCCAGGCTGGTCTGCTTGTCCTTTCCAGTGGAAATTTTCCACCTCAGAAGATTCTGGATGGGGTTCAGGATTCCACCTACGGGCATGATCCATTTTGAAGAAAGCTAACTGTGTGATCCCCTCACCATGACTATAGCCCTCTGCATCATGGAATTGCACCTGACCCATAGTTGCCAAATGCCTGGTTCAGAGCCTAGGAGATGGTTGGGGTATGTAGCTCTGTCCACTGAGATAATAAAGATGATCTCCATCACGTACAGTTTCTCTCATGGGGAGTTTGAACATGAGACCTATTGATGGAATACTTAGCCTTCAAGAGTGGGTGGTATGGAAGTGATGGTGAGACGAAAGCCAAAAACATATAAAGAGCAAGCAATGCATGGAGGTTATGGTTAGAAAGACTTTAAAAAGAAATAGTATAGTAGCAAAGCAGTAAGTATAATGGTGAAGTATGGTGGTTGTTGTTGGTGTGCCATGGAGTTGGTTCCGACTCATAGTGACCCTGTATAGGTTTCTGAGGCTGTAAATCTTTATGGGATCAGAAAGCCTCATCTTTCTTTCACAGAACGGCTAGTAGTTTCAAACTGCTGACCTTGAGGTTGGCAGCCAAATTCATAACCACACTGCTACCAGAGCTCATTAATTGTGAAGTATAAAGGACCATGGAGTCTTGGTGTGGCGCTGTGGGTTAATGTACTTGACTGCAAAGTCTGTTTGACCCACAAGGTCAGTGGTTCAAGCTTTCCAGCCACTCCTTGGAAACCCTATACAGGGTCACTATGGGTCAGAACTGACTGCATTTAACAACAACAACAACAACAACATAAAGGACATAATGGTGGGCAGTTGAGGCAGCAACAGTTGCCTAGCTGACAAGATAATGGCCTTTAGATCTGCTTTTTATTTGAAATACTATTCCAGTCCCACAAATTGATGTCTCATTTTCTTGGTTTATCTTTACATTGCTGTTGTTGTTAAGTGCCGTAGAGTTGATTCTGACCTATAGTGACTCTGTATAGGGTTTCCAAGGCACAGCTGGTGAGCTTGAACCACCGACCTTGCAGTTCAAATGACTTTGCAGTCTGACGCATTAGCCCACTGTGCCACACCATTGAGTGTGAACCTTAGAGTCTGAATACCCTCTTAGCTTTAATCTGTATATGAATTGTTATTACATTTTCCATTAGGAAATTAATGTTTGTTAGACCCATCACTTTGTAGAGAAAGAACCCCCAGAATGGTCAACTGAGAGAATGGAACTGCTAGAGCATCTCATTGGATTTGTGGACATGTACATTGATATATAGCAGAGAAACACTGTCAGATATAGTGCTGGAAAATGAGCCCCTCAGGTTGGAAGGCATTCAAAATGCAACTGGGGAAGAGCTGCCTCCTCAAAGTAGTGCTGACCTTGATGACGTGGATGGAGTAAAGCCTGTGGGCAAAAAGCCTGTGGGACTTTCATTTACTGATGGGGCACAACTCAAAATGAAGAGAAACAGCT